GTGTGTGTGTGTGTGTGTGTGTGTGTTCGGGATGAAAGCTCTGCAGCCAGGTTGGTTTTACGCGCTCCAAGCGCAGAGCCAAGCGGCTGCCCTCGGGTTTTTGTTGCCTCTTGATAAATGACGTTCTTTTGGCAAAGAAAGCAGGTGCCAGCCTGGTTCTCCCCGACCCAGACAACAAGTGCACAGGCTGAGCAGAAATCCTTGAAATCAGCTTTGAATTTTAAAGAGAGGCAGGAGGATGTACAAATGGTCAAAGCTCAGGCTCTGCAGCTTTGTAAACTGGTTAGCAGAGCACGTTTCTAAATGACCATCATATTGTGGTTAAAATGAACGAGTTAATGAGTGAAAACCTTTCTGTGTGCCTGCAGAAAGCCTGGCTCTCCAACAAGCCCAGTCTTTGTGCTCGGGCTGTCAGGGTCAGCACAGACTCCCCAGTTTCCCTGTCTTCTGAGAACCCACTGATCTGCCACGCTCCACCATCTTTCTGTGATTAAAACTCACTTTGGGTGAAGATTTTTTCTAAGATACTTGCATTGATTTCTCCGATTCCAAAGCAATTTTTTGCTCTCAGCGTGTTCTTTGATGTTTACAGCCAGCTGCAGGTGCAGGGATTGCGTCACAGTGTCCACTGACCACCCAGGGTCACCTGACTGTGCTGAGAGGCTCGGACCCCTCCAGTGGTGCACGCCGCAGCTGAGCTTCACACGCATCCTTGTTGTTACTGGGGACTTGCTCGCTGTTGAGTCAGACTCATTTACTGAATGAATGTCTGTAAAGCTGACTCCCTGTCAGTCACATGCTGCTCTGGATGATTACGCAACAGTCCGATGTGTCTTTGAGCCAACTGTTAAAAATGGGAAACCTTCACGAGTTGCTATAGTTCACGATTATAATCAGGTTTTGCCACCTAAATAAACCTGACAGTCCAGATCATTTTCATTCTTTGTTCCAAAGGGAGTACCGTGCTTTGCGGTGACAACATACAAATAGCGCTCTCAGGGGAATCTCTTCTCAACATTAGCAGAGTAGTAGGGCCTTAACGTTGTGTTGCTGAACATTTATGAGACACATTTATAGTCACCAGAACCCATTTTGAACCTCAGTTTAGTTTCCATAATTTTTGTTGTAATATCTTGACTCTCTGTGACTTTTAGGCCCAGAATTTTATGAGTTTGTGCAAATGTGGCAATCAGTGTGATTCGAATTGAAAATGAACGTGTTTTCCCGCAATTTTATGACTCTTCTAAAGGTCTCCACATAACTGATCTGAAGCCAAACAGTCGACAGGGCGGTCTTGTGGTTTGTTCGTTTTCGCATACATCTTTCGTAGCCCCTGAAACAATGCACTGAGCTCTTGGGAAACCCCTTCTGCTGTTAGATGCCAAAACTCTGATATCCAATCCGTCCTGGTTAAAGCACCACAGTTTTTGTCAGACAGACTCCTCCGTGCACGGCGTCTGTTTTATCTCCATCCATGAGTTTTGGACCGTTTGACCTATCTTTACGAGTGTTTTCTGCAACAGTCGGATTCTGGAAATGAGCAGTTGAAGTAAAATGCAGCGTTCAAGCACTTTGAGCTTAAACAAGCACAGCCACGTAGGTTCTCATGCAGAAGGGAGTGAAAAGTTCTCCCGGCGGGTTGTGGCGAGACGGGATGGAAGACTCGAAAGCTGCTAACAAAACGACACAATTTTCGTCATGCAACTGTGACGATGAGACGATTTCGGCAGTTTGAAGAGAGTATGTAGAGGTCTTGAGGCCAGGGATCCTTGACCACCACACCATTTATCTGTTTGTATCAGGCCATAGATTCATCGGTCTGTAGAGTATTTTTCTATATTATATTAAAAACAGTTGGTTATGGTATGGCTACATGAGAAGACATGTTTTACCACTAATCACCCTAACATGCATAACTTGAACTCACTTTTCATGCATCTACCTGTAGTTTAAAAGGTTTAACAGTTCACGCAACAAGCTTGATGTTTTTCTTGACTGACCAATTGGTTTATATGTAAATGTAAAAACCAAAGTTTATGCAAGATCAGGTACAGAATGTATACAGCTGGAAATCTTTATTTTGGTAGAAATCACCACAGCGTTTCAGTTGCCAGTCAGCATTTTTATAAGGGTGTGAATTGCTGCGCACAGTTCCGTGTTTGCTTAAGTGGTATTATGACCGAAGAAAGCCTCTTATGTAAGACGTGGTAGCTGTTTTGTACATTTGGTCAGGTGTTGGCTGTGTTGAGCTTGGTTAGAATAATAATCCAAGACACATCCTGCTTCCAGGGGTTGTTCTGACGCTAACCATAGAAAAGTTATTATTCTCTTGCATCAAAAAGATAGATTTTATTGCTATGATACTTGGCTTCTGTCAGAATTTGTCTTGGTTGAATTATACCATTAATTTAAAGTTCTAAAATCTTAATAACCCATGTCACACTGTATGGTTTTCAGTTTAGTCTTCCTGCTACCTTTGAGTCATATTTACCCAAGGGTCCCATCAAGCTGAATTATCGGTTCAACAATACATGGAAATTAGTTGCTGCCGTTGACACTTTTATTAGTTTTAGATTCTAAAAGGGGAGAGAGGAGGTGGATAAAAAGGGTACAGCTGTGCAATCTACCTTTCTCCATCCTCTGCTCTTTTGCATTTGGATCCACCCTTCTACCACCGTCCACAGTTTTCCATCAGCTTCACTGAGGCTATGACACGTCTCTGCACTAATAAGAAGCGTTGGTGTGGCTAATTAGACAAAGGTGGCAATAAACCAATTCTCTGCTTAAATGTTTGGGGAAAGAGGCCGTAAAACAATTTGGGTGACGTTACACACAGCACAATGAGTTTACCATGAGAGTCTTGACATTAAAATTAAAAGAAAAGACACCCCACGCCTTGGACCAAACAAAACATAGTTTGTATCTGGGTGGACCAGAGCAGCTCTTGCCAGTCGCGCTGGTTCAGCACCAGTTTTAATGCTTCTCACATGAAACTCGTTAGGGTGCCACCACTCATTGAGGGATGGAAGGAAGAGATTTGTTGCCCACCCGTGTAGCGACTATATGGATTTGCTAATTTACGATGGGAAAAGACCAGAGTTGTTGCTTTAATTTGCCTGGTCGGTCACCAACTGTGCAGGTGTGTATTCATGCACTCGAGGCCACCCAGTGTCCACCGATTGTCTCACCTGTGTTGGCCACCAAAGCTATACTTAAATCTTTGTTTTTAGTAAACAGGAGATTAACAGAATCTCCTTTCAAATGTTCTTCAACAACCTTTTTAGATAGAAGATTTATGACCCAATTGGGACTTTTTGCTCAAGTGCAAAGATTTAGATTGGTTAATGATGGTTTCTTTGTGGAGCTATGAGCCAACATTTTATTCCACTCTGCTGTAGGTGTGTGTTGTGGGAAGGTAGCTGAGTAGTGGTCATTAAGCTTAGTCTCAAATGGGCTTCTTGTGAATTTTGTCAAGGTAAACTCCCACTTTACTCATAATAAAAGGGGGAACTGATAAAGCATCCAGCAGAGTCGTGTGAATCTTCTTATTGGCCTTGAAGTTGCATCCGATTCCACGGAACGTTCCTTTTCTTCTTAATTAGTGGTTACCAGAGTTTTCAGCTTTTAAATCACAAAATAAAAAAAAAATAAATAAAAAAAACTGCCACAGACTTGAGACCCCCAACTGTTGTTTGTTGAAGGAGTAAAGCAAACAAACAAGGGTGTCAGCATCCATCATACTATACATTTGTAGCAATTTATAACAGCTGTTTTTAATGTTTTGTACCAACTATAACAAAAAACATGCTTCTAGCAACCGTTTTTCAACGTAGTTGGAATTTTTTTAGTGTTTCAAAAGTTGGGGGTTTGAGCTCAGCTTTTAAAACATTGATTTTTTTTGTGCTTTGGTTTTATATTAACAGTTTCAAAAAAGATACTGATTGGTCAAAATGTCTTTTCAAATTATGTTTATCTAATAAAATATTGGCAAGCCAACAAATACACACAAAAATATCCTAATTTGTTATTTTTTATTAATACATTGTTTCAATACCAACAGTTTTTTGGTTGTAATATCTTCAGATGCAGCCTATGATGTTATATTTGAAATTAAGCTCAATAGGATTTTAAAGCAGATATTTTAATCAAGCATATATTGCGGCCTTTGTGTAATTTAAAGTAATAAAATTTGTGGTCATGGAATTATCTCGGTTGTGCAGTAGATGGAACGTCGCTTCAGAAATACCAAAGTAAATACAAGACTGGAACCTCAGACGTTCATGCGTCTTTTTTACAGGAACATTTCTGTACATTTATGACCACAGTTCCACCTTTCGGTTTTTGATTTACAGTCATTACGATTTATAGTCATTACAGAGTCACCAGTTAACTCAATTTGACCATTTTTGAACCAAGAAAGGAAGAAACTCGAGCAGAGGACAGGAAGAAGATGCAAATTTTGATGCTGAAAGGCGCCAGCAGAGATTCGAAACAGGAACCTTCAATCTGTGAGGCGACAGTACGTGCCACAACACTTTAAAATGTTTAAAACTGGGCTTTACTTACCAATAACACAGTAATACTAGTTTGTAGAATAATGTACGGCTTAAATTAAAAAAAAAGTAACCTTAAAGTTTTGAAAGGGACAACCATGGTTCGTTACAGGATTTTCCAAATTTATAATAAAAGCAGGTTTCCAGTAATCACTTTTAGGACAGATTTCATACACAATACTTCCTGACAAATCTCTTGTAACAAAAATGAAATGACGTATAGATAAATATCTTGTTTGGAAAGATAATGCTTACTGTAAATCATTCC